ATGAAGAAAGAAGAGGCTAAATGCCGAAGAGGCTAATGCCGAAGAGGTCCCCACTTAATTGTGGCTCTAGAGGGCAACTACATAGACTATTGAGTTATTTTCAAAAGTTCAACAGCAAGTTAGAACTTTTCGAGAATAGCTCTCTAGTCATATTTTATATTTTATTATATTACTTTTTTGCTCATCATTAATTTGTAGTTGTAATTGGAGATGATGGACCATTCCATCTCCTTGGGACACCAAATTCGTGTCTATATCGTCCAAAAGATGTATATGTGTTAGTTAGAGTCAAAAATATTAAAATTTTCGTAATATTTAATTTTGAAGCTTAAGTAACGTTTAGTTATTAAGTATTACAGTAATTTCTTTTTTCTTGTTTCGTCTTTAAAATTTGTCATTTTGATCGTATTTTATTAAATTTGCAATTTTTTTTTTCTATATAATGCAGCTTAAAAGTAGTTCATAATGTTATTATTAGATATTATTTTTTCTAGTTTTTTAATATTTGTACTTTTCCTTTTTATATATATATATATTTTTTGTAAATGTAAAATCACGCGTTTAAATGTAATTTTATTTTACAAACGATAAATAGAGATTGGATAAAAATAAATACGGAATTTAAATGAAAAGTGCATCTCTGCGAACTGGACGATTTGTATGTTAGGCTATTGTATCACTTTTGATTGTATGATTAATATAGTTTTCTTTTTGTTACAGGTGATCATCGTTGGATTTATCATCTACTCGTTTTGATTTTCTTCTACTTTTTACAATATATATGTATAAAAAACGCATTTCTGAAGTCACACACACGTATTTAGACACTCAAAATTAAATATAATTATTTTAAATTTTCTTACAATATAACTATACTATACATACTATCAAAGAATACAATATTCTTTAATAGTATTGTACCGTCATCGCGTTAAGTACATACTATCGTCCAGTGGTAACAAAAATGATGCTGGGTAGGTACAAAAGGGGACTTGTGAGTTTCTATATACTTCACCATAATAAAGTTGACATAGAACCGCAACAACAGAAAAAAACGAAAATATTTACCTATTGTTTAAACATTATGAACGATTAATTTATTTCTTTTCACTACCTTATAGGTCGTCACTTTGGAAATGAACTTTAAATATATCCCTTGCTTGTATACCAACTTTACTTTTATTTTTTTCTAAGTGTGCTTGCGCTTTGAATTTGTGATTGCGCATGTGTATAACTAACTCATTTGTTACAAACTTGAATGTAAACTAATATTCTACATTTTTATACCGGCTATAACGTTTTCGTCTTTATTCGTAAATAATAATTTCATTGTATTGAATAGTTTACTATAATATGAATTAACGTATACCTGAGCCACAGCAACGCGTGGCGGGGTCTGCTAGTATGTATATAATCATACGTACATACCTATTTATAGGGGTGATATAATATATTAACCATTTCTCACCTCCTATTGGGATTTTTTTCTCTATCTTTCTTATCGTTTAAAATTGTCATTCTGTACTACACATTTAAAACATTTTGTATTACTCATTGACCTCTTCACCCTTGAATATTTTAATCAACGAGTAATACACACAATATAGAAGAGAGAGAGAGAGAGAGAGAGAGAGAGAAGAGTATAATAATATTATTAAATTATTTATACGATTTTCATATTCGTACATTTAAAATTTTTATCAAATATACAAAGACATTATTAATACTAGTTATTATTGCGCCTAAGGATAGGCAAATTTCAAAAGCACTTTTATGCATACTTTCGGGTTGCCTACTTTCAAGAATTATTTATTTTCTTTTTATCTTCAATCAAAAATCTTTAAAATAATACATTTACCTCGAATGTATTAAAAAGAAATGATAGATTATTATCGTAACAAATCGTGAGAATTTTATTATCAGTGCAATTTGTTTTTAAAACATAAAATATTATCCAGAATTGTGCATTTTGTAATATCGATATTAGGATTCATGAAACATGATTTTTAAACTATTTTTAACTTGTTTTTTTCCCCTTTTCATGTCCAGAATTTGTTTTCGATGTAGAATAATTCGAATCCATCGAAATTGTTGAGCTATGATTACTGTACTCGAGAAAACTTGAATGAAAACTTGCGCGCGAACGTGTACGCGAGAATCGTCGAACGAAACGATATGCAATTGTAAAAATAATAGCAATAAAAATAGTACGCAAAAAATATTTTCCTGAACGAGATCGTGAATGTGGTGATTTACTATGAATCGTGAGATATCTTATTTGCGGTTACGAAATGATTAATTTATCTATAATGAGTAATATTTGATAAAATAAGATTCAAACTTTTTACGTTGTTGACATATTTTCTCGCTAAATATTCGATTCAATTATAGAAAAATTTTGTTTGAAACGTTAGAAATTTCATTAATGCGATATTTTTATTAACGTTTAATTATTTATCAAATCAAAAAAAGGAATGGCTTTTAAGAGATAATCGAAATAAACTAATTTACACGATTTATTATATGAAATTGTAAATAAAAACGAATGTAATAATACACGAAAACCGGGAAACAATTTCAAATGCGGTAAGCAGTTAAACCTTAAAACCTTTTTTCTAACGTTCGTGATCGTTGGCGTGCATCCAAACGAATCTATTCTAATGTCAAGCGAAAGTTGAACATTTTTTTTTTACTAAACCGATGTCCTCCGAAATTTCGATGACATTGAATTCATAACTCGTGAAGGAATTACGAGGAAAAAGATATTAAAAAACAACAAAAAATGACCAATATTTTTCGCTTTATCGATTCTATTTGATATTGTTTGTTGTATACGTGTCATTTGTAAAGGTTTAAAAATTTTGTTTTTAAGAAACTCCATTTACATGGGTACAATAACATTTATCATCGAACATTCAATTGAATTGCGTCATTGACATTGTATATATCACAGACGATTTGTCACAAGAATGACTTAAGATTAAGAGATTAAGGTTTTTAGAAAAAAAAAAAACTAAAAATTTTATATCATATCTTAATAAAATTTTGCGAAAGTTGTAATAGTATAGTTTGCAATGTACGATTTTTTTCCACATTACGATGCCAATATTTTACGAGTATGAAAAAAGAAAAAAAATTTATTTAAATTAAAACATTATATATCAAGAACGTTTTGTTACAATAAATATAGAAAATAAAAAATTACCATATCACTATTGTAATAAAAGAAATTTCCGTTAGTCTTATCATATCCGCAATTACGAAGTGATTCATATTGAAATTTGTTGATAAGAATAATGTTATATATACCAGAGAGATTCGTAATAGTTGTTCAGTAATCGTTCAGTAAACATTCAGTAAACATTCAGTAAAAGGTGCAATTTAATTTGCAACATGCCACGCCTATACTCAGATCGTGAATATGCTGACATGCATTACATTTATGGTTTGTCCAACGGTAATGCTTCATTTGCTAGAGACTTATATCAACGAACATATCCGAGAAGAAATGTTCCGGATCGATCTGTATTTGTACGAATTGATACACAGTTATGCAAGACTGGTACATTTTGTAAACCTAAAAAACGATGTTAGTTGACGCTGCTAAAACAGGTAAATATTATTAATCTGTTCTTATATTATTATGCAATGTGAAATACCTAACTCGATTATTTCGTATAACTTTATTAAATTGTACACACACATTAAACAACAAATTATTTTATACAAAGTTGAATACTATGACAATGAAGATAAATTGTTAACGTAAAAATTTCTAATGTCTCAAAACGATTGAAAAAAGTTTTTGAAACGTAGACTGTGACGATTGACTTCATTTAAGATACATTATTTTTGGACATTTGTAACTTTGTTTCTCTTTGCATGTTCATTGAACGCATTGTAAATTAAAATTGTATATCTTGTTTTTCATCGTTATATTCAATTTTCTTGTTCAACTTCTTTCGTACAATTATACCATCGATAACTAAATAATAGTAATTCACGTAATTAATTGATGACAATATTTTAAGTAAGTATTACGTGAAATGTAGATAAACATTATAAATGTAAGTAGCTTTGTGACAAAAACAATGTTTAATACATTTTAAATTGAAAATTAATGTTTTTTTTTGAATTGTCATAAAATAATAGGACGTTTCATTAAAAAAAAGAAAAAAATAACTCAAATTTACCTTCAAATCTTCTCACACTTATAAAGAATTCACGTATGGTACATTATAGCCTTCTTGATACAGTATAATATCTGTAAAAATAATTTGTTGTTTAATTTACAATTTAGAAAATTATTCGAAGTAATAAAGTTAGGTACCTCACGTTTTATATCAAACGAAAATCAATATATTATTATTTTCTATTTTAATTATAACTCTTTAATAAATATTTTTTTAATATGACATTTTGTTTTTATTTTTACTTATAGAATATGCCGACATCGTTATGCGGATATAAACAAAGACACTATCTAATCATATGTATAAAAATGATGAAATACAATCTTTGAAGAAATAAAAGTATTCAATGTGAAATGTATTTATCCATTTATATTACTTTCCAGTCAAATTGTACCTTTCACTTTTTCCTATTTACAGTTATCAAATGAATGAAATAATTTCATCCTTTTATATTGGCGTACAAATAATATACTACATAAACTTTCTTTCGCTTTTATCGAAACGCATTGATGTGAGAGATAAATTTCATCAAAAATGAATGTTAAAATCAGTAAGAGAATTATAAATCATTAAACAAAACAAAAAAATGTATAATATTTTATCTTTGTTTTATACAGATATACAACCAAAAAATGTAAATTTAAATTAAAAAAAATCATTGTAAATGATTAAATGAGCCGTTTATTTTGAAAGTGGCCTAACTCCATTTGTCAATTATTTCCGATTACGCATGGTTACATGTACAACTTTAAATTATCTATCAATAAAGCATTTAAGATTATTTATATTCCGAGTAAATACGATAATTCTGGACACATAAGTTTTCAGAGTTAGTAGAATAACTGAGCCGTTTATTTTGAAAGTTGCCTAAGTCCATTTACACTTAAATTACTGCTACTTCAGTAGCATATTATAAACGCAATATAACAAAAGCGCTAATAATAATTTATTGTTTGTCCTCCGAAATTATTACAATATTATCGAAAAATGTCCGAAAGGTAATAACTTTATTGTACATGAAATGAGACAAGCAGATTTTGTACCAACAAAATTATTAGAAGACGCAATTTTTAAAAGGGTAAAGAATTTTAACGGAGAACCAGTAAACTGTTTAAAATATGTTGGATGCGTTTTGTCAAAAATGAACCATATAAAATTTTCTATAAGACATCAATGAATGAGAACGAAAATTTTCAAGTCCTGAATTTATTACCACGTCGGGGTAGACCAAGAAAGTTCGAAAATATTGTATTGACATCACTGTATAAAAATATCAGACAAATTACAACCGCAAATTTCAAGGATATAATTGACTTATTACGATATATATCACCGGAACATCACGATTTCTTTAAATCCCTTTTACATACACAAAATGTAGATGAGTAGAAAATTGTTTTGTAATTTATGTTTGTAAAAAATATTTTGAATCGCATAATTTATGTTTTTAAAGTGTTATAAAGATATGTAAAATAAAATGAGTATTGTTTTTTTCAATTTGAAACATCTTAAATTATGTTTAGTGGACTTCGGTTCCTTCAAATTTTATAACGAATCTGGTTGTTAATTTTGAAAGTGGCCTAACTCCATTCTTGGTAAGAAAACGCATATTATTCACTTAATAATTGCCATTATTTTAATAGGAACTGTAAATTTAACACCTTTAGATACACTTAAGCAGCATAACTCATTGGTATTCTGTATGTATATTTTTAAATTCATTGAAACGCAAAACTTTAAATATCTCGATTTGAAGGTAAATGGAGTTAGGCCACTTTCAAAATAAGCGGCTCAAATATCCATATCACTGAAATTTATTAAATAAGAATTCTTCCTTTTTTTTTATAATTTTATTTGATAACATACAGCTAGATCATAGAATCGAACGAAAGAAACTATCATTGTAGATGTTTACAAAAATGATGGTTCTATTTGATCTAACGAAAAGAGAATTTAAAAAATACCTTTAAAAAATAATGACGTAAAAATAAAAATATATTTTGCCATTGTATGAACCCCATTGAATCGTTCAAATTTTTATTTAAAACATATTCGACGTATATTTAAAAAACAATATAGATATTTGAGGTACTAAAATATTTACTAATTCAACAGTTAAGATATAACAATCACTATCGTATAATCATTGATTTAACTCAATGATTTTATTTTACTTTACTTACATTAGAGATTAGAATTATCTGTCTTGAGGTTTTTAAGGTTTTTAATTTTTTTTAACTATCTGACGCCATCGTGGTGAAAACAAACGTCGAGGCTATTTGATGGCGATCGGGAAAGCATGAAATGCAGTCTTGACAGTCGAGCATAAGACAGTTGAAGTGCAAGAAGCTATAAGTTAATCGGTAAGTTTTTACCTGATACTCGAAACTTTACTTTATTATTTTAATATTAATAAACAGTTTGTTATTTTTTTATTAATTACTACATCTATAACTGTAAGCAAATATAAAAATTATATATAAATATATATATTTCGGCGTTAAATTGTATATTTTAATTATATCGTGGAAACCCCATATAACAAAATATAATATATATTTGTATTATTTATATATTATATATTTGTTTATATAATAGTATTTGATCAAATCATTTACTATTTTGAGGGAAATCACTCTACGGAGTTGTTATTTTAACATCTTTCGTGAATTGATCATCTACCTTAGAGATTTGATCAAATCTTCATTTTTATCATTTCCCTACGACATATGATATATATTAGGTACTCCAGAAAATATATATATATATATATATTTATAAATCGGCATAAATTTTATAGACAATTAAAAATGAGTATGTCATATTAAATGTAATAAATATAATGTAATTAAAAATTATAAAAAAAGCAGACATTACATTAATAATTTCTTCGATACGAGATAAAGATAAATACGATTGATCGGGTTCGAATATTCCATGTATTTGCCGTCCAATGTTAAAATAATTTGTACACCTAGCTAATTAGATCACACGACGTGCGAATCGATCGTTGTTATGTCGAAGAGCCATAATTGTTTACCAAATTATACCAATAGGCAGCAGTAACGTTTGATTCTTATTTACAAAAATCAATGGTTGACCAAGAACTGACTGATATATTGTATAAATGGAATAAATCAAGAGAGTAGAACGTAATTAACGAGTTAATTCATCGATCGATATGTTTATGAGGAATACGTTGGGATGCATTGAACTGAATAATAAACACCGGTTTGAGATTTGATTAGAAAATGAATCAAATATTGACGAAATCAGTGCGGATTTTATTTGTCAAAATTGATTGCTCAATTATTTTAATCCTTTTCGATAAATAATAAGATAATTGATTAATAATTATGCATATATTATTAATAGTTGACTACTGTTTCGCACGCTAACATTATCAGATATGCATACTTGAATTATTCTTCTAATTCTCTCTCTCGTGGATATTTTATTAGATAATAATATTATAATAAGGTTCGTGTAAAGTTAAAACAAATTTGTCATATGTAAGTAAATCTTTGCTGAAAATAATCAGATAATGTGTATTCACAATGATTTTTTTAACAGATGTTCATGAAAATGATAAGGTATCACAGGGAACTTGGACATAAAAAAGAAGTAGAACTTAATTTAACTAAGTTGGACGTTTCGTCCCTTTATTAGGACTTCTTCAGCAACTTAATTTTTACAGTTCAGCGTCTTTTTTCATTGGGTAGACATACATTTTTCTTTTTATTAATATTCAAAACACAAAATATCTAAACTTCGTTAAGTATTCGTTCGTTATCGAATATATATACTTAACGAAGTTCTACTTTTTTTTTATCTCCAAGTTACCTGTGATACCTTATCATTAAGAATTATAATTTTGGACGAGAGAAAAAACTGGTTCATGAAAATCTTTTATTCTATTATATCGGGTCAGGGAAAAAGTTTCTTTATATTTTATTGATACGATATTAATATTTTATTGATATTTTATTAAACCGTGAAGTAATTTTTCAAAAAAAAATTCTTGATATTTTTATATTTAGTCAAAAATAATTGCCTTTTGTAAAAGAATAAAAATAAAGAAAAAAAATTTGATACATTTTAAAATGTTATTAAAGAAAACAACAAAAATTCGACTCAGACTGATAAAAAAATGTTTATCGATATAATGCTACCTTACGAAAATAAAAAAATGTTACTCATTGTAAAATCGATAAATTTGTAAAATTGATATAGTTTTTGTTCTATATGATTATTTCGAAGTCATAAATACACCTCGTCCTGAATAAACAGCCGGTGAAAAAAAATCGATAAAATCATAACAAATATTGAGCAAAATCGAGGATGCATTTTAACAGTCACAATATTATTTCAAGGCTTCAAACAAACTACAATATGAAAAAAAATTAAATTAAATTAAATTTGTTTTAATTTTGTGCATTAAAATACGAAGAAACTGTTTCTTCTCCCGAGTCAATATTTTTAACTTGAAATCTGACATGTATATTCATATTTCACAAATATCCTAGGCATTTCGTACTTTGCTGGTAACGTATATATTATATTTAACCGAAGAAAAGTTTCGTCATGCTCCAAATGCTTTTTTTTTTCCTTCTCGCCTTACCTTTTCTCATGGAAAATCTAAAGTGGTAATAAAGCTTGGTAACTCGAGTTTCACGAACAGTTAGATCTCGTATTGCCAAAGGCTATCTCATTCGACTCTTACTTATTTTATTTCATTCGTTTTATTTATTGCATACCGCGTGCGCGAGAAATGTCTTCGAAAGGTAAACATACAATATCAAAATGCGTAATTTTATTGTTAGCGATATATGATTTTAAATAGAAGAAAAAGAAAAAGAAAAAGAAAAAAATGATACATACTTGGGTAGAGTGGGTAGAAATGTAATTGATCGATTAGACTATTTTTTGTACGTGGGATACACCCCCCCCCCTTGAAAAGGATTTATTATTATTATTATTAATAATTTCTCTTTCAATTTTTAACATCGTGTCATTTCATTTTTATGTTGTCTATTTTCTCAATTGATTTGTAGTATCAAAAAAGAGATGAATGAAAAATGGATGAGTTTAGCGCCATTATTTGTAACGCTCTGTCTTTCGAGTGTTTTTAAATTAAATTATGCGATTTTCTTATCAAAATCCACATTACATCAAACAATTTCGAAGAGTCGGGATGATATTGAAAAAGAGGAAAATCAAGAGAAAGAATTTCATCGTGATAATCGTCAAAAACCGAATATCATTATGATTATTGCCGATGACATGGTAAGGAAAATATACATTATGTTTATAATTAAAGGAATTCTGAGATTTCATTGAAAAATATAGAAGAATAATTTTGACACGACAAATAGGGTTGGAACGACGTTGGCTTTCATGGATCTGATCAAATCCCAACACCGAATATCGATGCTCTTGCATACAATGGTGTTATCCTAAACAGTCATTATGTATTACCTCTTTGTACACCCAGTAGAGTGGCATTAATGACAGGAAAATATCCGATTCGACTTGGCATGCAACATTCAGTTTTATTAGCTGGTGAACCACGAGGACTTCCTTTGAACGAAAAATTACTTCCCCAGGTATTTCAATTACAAATGTATAAATATGAACTTGCGTGTAAAATGCTAGATATATCATACAAGGTGAAACACCTAACTGTATCACCTAAATATTTCCATTGTTTACAATCGTATTAAAAAACTAGACAAATCTTCATATGATATGGTCATGCAGGTAATTTTTATTCATTTTTTTATACTCCATAAAATTATCATCAAAAATATATATATTGAAAACAAAAACAAAGAAGAACAAAGATTGATCTTCAAATCTCGTAAAGAAGAAAAGAAATAAAAAAAATTACTTTTAGAAAAAATTCTTTCTAACCGTTTGATTCTCTTCCTGTAATAATGCAAATTTTTCTTTTAAAGTTTTTTAATACGATTGTAAAAAAAGAAATATTTATATATATATAGAATTCTTATCTTATATATATATATATATATATATATATCTAGAAATTATATATATATAGAAATAAGTCATTTTTATTACTAAAACTTTTACTTTTACAGTAATCATCTCTCGATCACTTTTTAACGAGAAATTATTTATTGCCTTTTTCCTTCAGTACTTAAAAGAAGCTGACTACGTAACACATGCCGTTGGTAAATGGCACTTAGGATTTTATAAAAAAGTCTACACTCCTACCTATCGCGGTTTCGATACATTCTTTGGATATTATACTGGCTTTCAAGACTATTACACCCATCTTGCCTCTGATTTGGTTAGTTATGTTTATTTCATTGAAACAATGTTTTTCAAAAAATGCTCAAAAATTTGTATGTATCGATGGTTACTTTAGATTTCAATTAATGTTATTTAGGATGATAAATTAGGCTTTGATATGCGACGAAATCTTTCGGTAGCTTGGGATACATTAAATAAATATTCAACTGATCTATTTACGGAGGAATCGGTGAGACTTATTAATTCTCATAATACCAAAAATCCAATGTTTCTTTATCTCTCACATTTGGCACCGCACAATGGAGGTTTTAAAAATTCTATACAAGCACCCGACGAAGAAATAGCCAAATTTGGATATATCCATGATCCAGAAAGAAGAACTTACGCGGGTTGGTATTAAATTTGTTATTAGGGACACTAGAAAGTGTTTTCATATTTGAAAGATTTAATAACGTCATTTCTCGGTTCCTAATAGTTCATTTTTATAGTTTAATTTATTTGTGTAATCTCGCAAAAATTAATCATTTTTTCAGCGATGGTTTCGAAATTGGATGAAAGCGTAGGCAAGGTGATTGCAGCTTTGAGAAAACGTGGAATGTTAGAAAATAGTATAATATTATTTATTAGTGATAATGGAGCACCAACGATAAATGTTTTTAGTAATCATGGCAGTAATTATCCCCTTAGAGGTGTAAGTAATCAAACCTCTATAAAAAGACAGAACAAAATAAAATTAATTAAAAGTCATCTCCTTCTTTATAATTTGAAGATAAAAGAAACCCCTTGGGAAGGTGCTGTACGAGGAGTCGCAGCTATTTGGAGTCCATTCATAAATAAATCAAAGAGAGTCTCAAATCAATTAATGACTATTGTCGATTGGCTACCAACGTTACTTTCTGCGGCAGGTTTGATTTTCAAAAAATGATTATAATTTATATTTTATTTTTATTACTATTTTTCAATCGAATACTATTCAATGTCAGTAATTTATTTGAAGGATTAAACAAAAGCAAATTAAATAAAATAGACGGCAAGGATTTATGGGAAAATATAGTAGAAAATCGTAATAGTCCTCGAACTGAAATACTCATTAATATCGATGATATTAGCGATTATGCAGCCATTCGTTATAAAAATTTTAAATATATTACGGGTAATGTTGGTGTTGATGACTGGTTAGGAGAAAGTGGCAAGCCGAGCGAAGAATTTGGTTTTCCACCAGCATACAATCCTAATCAAATACTGCAAAGCAAAGCGGGTATCGCTCTTGCTGGTGTAATGACTACTCGGGAAATAATCGAATCGAGAAGAAAAAGAAGAAACGTTAGCGTTGCAAACGATACTAAGAAAGAATTTCAAAAGAAAATATTAACTGCGGATCAATTACTTGATTTACGAAAGAAAGCAGAACTCAAATGTAATGTTAAAAAAGAAGATATAGTAAGTTAATTAATTTTATCAATTTAATTATCACGAATTATAGATGATACCGCGTTTATAATTATTTGAGTATATCACTTATTAAAAATATACGACATTATTGCTTTATAGATTAAATGTGATACTCTACGAGCACCTTGCCTATTCAACATCGTTAACGATCCATGTGAAATGATTAATTTAGCTGAATCAAAACCACAAATTCTTGCCCTATTAGAATTAGCTATACTGAAGCACAGATTTACTGTAGTACAACCAAGTAATCAAAAAAAAGATATTTTGGGGAATCCGTTACTATACAACAATACTTGGATCAGTTGGGGCGAGATTGAAAATACAAGCAAAAACATGGCATATTTACAGAAACAAGATTCTAATGAATATTCTAGTCTATTAATAACAATGATTTTTATGATCTTTGTTCTTTTTATCTTAGGTATAATAAATCTTTTGGTATTATTATCTGAAAAGTTATGCAAAAAAAAAGAGACAAAGAATAGAAAAGACTCGAAGAATAAAGATTGTAGTACTACAGTAAAAATTGCAAATGAAATTGAAAATAATATAAGAAATAGTGAGGACGAAGAGAATACTGATCTCATTAATCCAACTATAATAAAAGATAGTAATATTATAAAATGACGATTGGTTTTAAGGTACAAGACTTCTAAACTCAAAACTATTATAAAGATTTCTTATAAATCTATGAAAGAATAATAAAACGTTTAGGAATAAGGAGAATAATTTTATCTTGTTAGTTGGAAAAGGATATTAAACAAATCGTATTAATTATTCAGTTGAATGAATTTTATCAAACAGAAACAAAAGAAGAAGAAAAAGAAAACTCTTATCTCATTTTAATCTATTTCCTGGTAATAGTCTCAACGATATAGAAAAAATATATCGATTAGGTGACTATTTTTAATAATTTTATAACTCTGAAATGATTACTTGTGTTGCAAGTAAATTCATTTTCCAATAAATTAGAACGTATTCTAACATGCTATTCTTGAATGTAAATGTATTTCTATATTTAAATATAACATAACGTGTAAAAAAACAAGTCTTAAATACGTCTAACCACCAAGACAAGCTGGATCTATATTAATTTTGTTTATAATGAAGATATTTTTAAATAATCTAAAGTAACACTTACATCGACTATTTTCGCAGAAAAATATATTCTTTTTTTATTTAATAAGAAAGAAAATCAAATAGAAATATCTTAATTATGATAATACATAATTCATTATAATTCTAATTTGTTCTCCAAATAACATACACATCGATGAAAAATCGATAATTTAAATAGGTTAAAATTAAACATATACAATATATCAGATAAATACCTCTCTTCTGTTTTATTATTTTCATTATCTTTTCTTTTTTTTCATTTGTTTTGTTTTGTACAAAATTTTGTGAAAATAAGAAATGAGAAATTGTACGCGAGGGAGGCGACGATTCTAAAGTGTTCCTATCTATTATTTGTATACGACGTAATACTCGTTTAAAATTATTTTATAAATATATAGATAATTGTCATATGAAATGCCAAAAATTCTTTTATAGATTTAAAAACAAGTACTCAACAGCGCGAACAATATTATATCAATAAATTAGTATATATATATATATATACATATATGCATATGGTTATATGCATTAGTATATATACATATATGCATATAGAAACTGGAAAAAAAAATTAATCGTTCGAACAAACTTATATTCGATTAAATCATTCATTTGCACTAGAAACGATTACTATCCCCACCTAATCAAATATAACAGAAATTAAAATAATTACTAATAGTGGGAATCATTTTCTCGTATTATACAAGAGCTCGCAGGCTGTACAAGTATTATACAATAAAGAACATATTTTTATTGGAGTTTCCCTCAAAGATAGCGACCCCTAATAAAAGCCTTATGTTATTATCGCGTATATCGTTATTAGACTTTATATAGATCTCTAAACATTACGTGACTTATCTATAAACAAAATAAAAAAAAAAAAAAAAACAAGAGAAGAAAAGAAAATTCGTTTCTAAGTAATCTAAAGTGGCCACCGGAGTTTCATAAGACGCATGCGACTTTTCAAAACTACGAAAAGTTCGCTGTATAATTATAACAGTTTCGTTCGTTCGAAAATGAAGCGCCTTTTTCTTTATCTCGATTTTAACTACAAGAGACCCCTAACTGCAGAAAAAATCTTGGCAGTTGGCACTTGGCAGGAATGTAACCAAAAGATAAGGATGTAGTCCGTTTCACTCCCGTTGCTCATTCATCACATGTGCATCACCTTCGGTGTGCTATTAAACAAATAATAAAATACAATTATTAGAAATAAATAAAGAAATATATACATAGGGTGTATCATCTTATATATATATTTTGTATTCCTCCTATAAATAAAACAGAGAATTTACCTTTTCCCCCATAGCCAATTTAAGAGAACGCTCGACTGACTCTGAACGTCCCGTGCTGTAAGGAAATGTCATAAACGTCATTAAACGGAAAAATAATAATAATGTAACAATATGATTTTCAAATTTTAAGCTAATTAAAAAGATTTTACTCGACAAAATGAACCTATAATGATAGTACGTACAGAGCGTATAGTTCGCATTAACAAGTTTTGCAGCAGCTTCCGGAGGTAGCGTACTTAGGACATCTTTATGTGCTAGTAAAGACATTTGTTGCGTGTGCCTCAATTCTCGTTCATCCCTTAACCGTACGTCCTTTGTATGGCCAACCGTATGTAACTGCGACAGCCTAAAGGGAAAACTAGCTTATACTAAGGCACTTGCATTACCTAAGGCATGTATACCAAGGAGCTTTCTTTCACAGTAGGTAAAGAGGTTTAAGAAAGGGTTTTGATTAAAAAAAAAAAAGAAGAAAAAAAAATTATAGTACTATAAAGATCGTTTGAAAAAAATATTTCTTAAATCGGCTCAAAAATAATCAAAAGCGTGAAAATGTTATTAGAAAAAACACAGACCTGCAATAAAATCGGAGCAAGGACATCTCTAAGTATACACATCTTGTTCTTAAAAGATATTCTTCTAAACTTGTCGAACGTATTGTCTATCTTAGAGGAATTACAGAAGAAATATCAGGGAAGGCAGCAATAAAGAATTTTCGTAATGATAAATAAAAATGCGTGAGCACAACTTCGAAATCTTCTACGTGATAAGTAAGATTCGAGTTTATCTAGGTGAATTGTTGTTTGACTGATTACTATTATAAAAATATTTGTTTGTACAACATATAACAGTCAGGATTAGCAAAAGGAAGGGATTTAACTAAAATGATATACGTACTTCAGAGAGAGAGCTGCTTTATCTTCTTCTATCGGTGCGTCTATGGCTTCTTTGGCTATCTCAACGGGTCCATCCGATTTCGATGGGGAAGGATGCTCGATGAGGGGTTCATCCGTCGTTTCTGAGGAAGCTGGAGCATCCTTTCTCGGGCTCGAATCGGACGATGATATTTTTCGTAATTCTTCGTTTATTCGAATAGCATTTGATAATCGCAATTGCAAGGTGTCACGTTCCTCGAGCAATTGCATCAATTCGTGGGTTAATTCTTCGCATCTGACATCTCGTTGGTGGAGCATGTAAAGAGCGAGGTCGAGTTCGTTCGAATATTTCGAATCTTCGCTTCCTTCGAGAATATCGGAGGTATTTAAAATCGTCCTTTCTATTTCTTGACCTTCCTGAATTTTCATTGCTTCGGCAATAGGAAAATCTTTCTTCAGAGCACGTTGAATCATTTCATATTCCTTAACTTTACTTTCCAATCGATCGGTCAATTCTCTAATCTCACTTTCCTTTTCTTCAACATACTGTCTTAACTCTGCCAATTCTTTTTGATCCTTTTTATATAGCTCAATGAGTTCCTCAATACGTATGTCCTTTTCATGAATTTGAATGGTCAAGTTACGAATTTCTGCTTCCTTTATAAAAGTCAATTCAGAGATAAGTTTATCCTTTTCTTGAAGATTCATATTTACTATTTGTAATTCTTCATCCTTACGACGTAAAGCCTCATCAAATTCCATCGACCAAGTTTCCAATTGTCTTTTAAAGTTCTCTACATCGTGATCCTTAGATCTAAGCTTATTAAGGAATTCTTCGTTTTCCATTGATAATCTTTGTTTGATGGCATCAATTTCCGATTCCTTTTCTGCTAGTTTCTTTTCCAGAAGTTCTTCGCTTTCCAATCGAATTGTTTCTTTCTCTGAGGTCAATCTTTCGATCATATTTCTAGTTTCTTCTGAAATCCTCTCGAGATCCTTCAAACGTAAGATCTCATTTTGAGCTTCGTCTATACTCGTCTTTAATTGCTGAATTTCTTGTTCTTTAGCATATAATTCTGCCGTTAAGCTCTGCAAGTTCTCACGTAATTCGTAATCGTACGAGGAAGGATCCAAATTGACCTGAGACAATTGGGAATCCTTCTCAGCTATGACATATTTCAATTCGTTTATTTCTTGTTCCTTTGCATGCAACTCGTTTTGCAATTTCACGATCTCTTCTTGATCTTGAATTGATCTTCGATCTCTTTCTCTCGTAAGCAAAGTCGAGTCCTCTTTTTCTGGTGCATCTAAATGTTTAGTTAAACTTTCAATTTGATTTTGCTTCTCTAATAAACTATGCTGAGCTGTTTGCAATGCATTTTCTAATTGTGCTTTTTCGTTGTAAAGAAGATTAATATTAACTTGCATTTCTTGAATTATTCTAGGATAGGTATTCTCTTCAATAATGTATTTTAAGTGTTCTATTTCTTGTTGTTTTTCTTCTAATTGAATCTTCAAATTTTCTATCGTATTACGAAGCATCTCTTCATTATCATTTCCCATTCTAAATAATGGTAAACCATCGCCCGTAGTGGAATTTTGTTGATTTTGAAGGAAAGAATTATTAGAAGAAAGTCTATCCAATTCCATTTGTTTCTCGTTAAGTTTTTCTTCTGTCACTTTCAGCAAAGATTCAGTTTCTTTCAAAGCTTCTTTAGTCATTTCCAAATTTTTACGTATCGTTTCAAACTCTGCAGTTGAATAAATGAACTCGTTCGCACTTTCATGGAGACCTTTTTTCATTTCATCGAAATGTTGCAATTCAATTCGTAGCTCCTTTATTTCCGCATCCCTCTCGTTTAATAACACTTTAGATCTCTGCAATTCTTCTTCAAATTTATTCAAAACGAATTCCTTATCCGATAAAGTTGCTTGTAAATTTACGATTTCTTGCTCAAAGCGAGATAAACTCGTGACTTGTTCTTGCAATTTTCTTGATACATATTCGGATTCGCGCAAACGATCTTCCAATTGACCGATCGTCGACAAATATTTTTCGGTATCCAACGAATGTTGTCGCGATTCACTTTCCCATTGCAATTGATGTTGCTGGAATTCTTCTTTCGTCTGTAATAATTCAGCCTTGATAGTTTCCAAAAGCATAACTTTTTCATTAAGATTTTGTGACAAGGATATTACAGTTTCCTCTTGAGTAGATCTCTTTACTAATTCAGAGGCATATTCATCGTTGGTTATTTGTAATGCGTTTAATTTATCACGAAGATCACGAATTTCTTTGTTTCTATCTTCAATATCAATCGCATGCTTTTGCACGAGTTCCTGCGTAGCTTCGCTCACAAGTAAACTAACGGTCTCAACGCTCTTTTGTTGAATCAATTCGCTTTCTTTAACACTAAAGGCTCCTCGTAAATCATCTAATTCTTGTTTCCTTTCCCTCAATTCATAAGTTAAATCTTGTATATTATTTTGTAATTTTTCTTCAGCTTCCTGACGAGCTACGTATTGTTTCTGAAGTTCTTGTTTTAGATCAGCTACTTCTTGTACTCGAGCATTCAAAAGTTCTGTAACTTCTGTTAACGATTCCGACACAGCAGAAAGTTTTTCTTCTGTGATTTTAGCTTTATTTATCCTTTCCTCCATTTTGGATTTCTCTTCGAGAATATTTTCCTCTCTTTTCTCTAACTCGTTTGTTCTTGTTTCGGATCGTTCTAATTGTTGATTAAGTTCCTTTATTTGTTCTTCCATTTGAAGAGTTTCTTTGGAAATGTCACCAAGACGTTCTTCAAATCGTTTCTTCAAAACTTTATTTTCTTCTTCTAACTTCTCTAACAGATCTTGCAACTCATCTTTTCTTTCTTTAACTTCCCTCAATTCTTGACTATCCTTTTTCCCAGCTATTAATTTTCCTTCAAGCGTCGATATCCTTGATTTCTGTTCTTCCAAATAATTTTGAAGCTGTTCGTTTTCTGTGGCAAGGGCTTCCATGTCGTCTTTTAGAGCTTCCAATTCTTCCTTATGTTTATCGCATAATTGTTTAATGTCTGGTGTTACATCTTCAGTAGCTCTTTTCTGCAGTTGCTTAGCTGACATTGCAAATTCCTGTTCACTTTCAGATGTTATATTTTCTTCCGAAAATCTACCTTCCAAGGACTTTATCTTGTTCGTAAGATCTTTGTTTTCTAATCTAAGAACTTCCATATTCATATCTTGCTTTTCTTTCATATCTATGTATGTTTCATTAGCCAATTCAAGCACATTGATACGTTTTAAGAGATTTTCCTTTTCAACAAGCAGGTGCTTATGTTCCGCACTCGATTCTTTTAAGTTTTTCTCTAATTCGGTAATCTGAAGTCTTAATTCTTCTTCGATAGCCGAATCTAATTCACATAAACCAGTCATAGATTTTTGACTCTTCAATTGTTGTTGCAAATTTTCAACCTGAACTTTATACTCTTTTAATTTTTTCACCATCTTACCACTTCTTATTTGTAAAGTTTTATTTTCTTCTATCAATTTCACTTTTTCTTCTTCTAAATCTAATAATTTCTTTTCCATTTCATCAATCTTTGTACGCAATTGTATTTCTACACTAGGAATTATTGAAATTGGGGAATGGGTATCATGATGATCGTCCGTTGTTTGTACATCATCAGCATTCCAACCCCAAGTATCCTCATCAGTATTGAATTTATCATTTGTGTCATCAACACTCAGATTTGTACTTTGTTCCATAACAGGTGTCGTTTGTATTCCTGTTAACTCGCTGCTTCCACTTGCTGTTTTTTGTAATTTATTCTCATCTTTTGGAGTTACTTCCAAATTTTGTATAGCACTTCTGGTCGACTCCTCTTCTTTGACACTTTGTAAAATAATATTTTGTTGTTTTAATTCTTCTAAAGATCGAGTTAAGTCATTCATTTGCAATTGCAACATATCTTTTTCCTTCGTAATTTCCATTAATTGATGCTGTAAATCAAGTGTCGAGTCATTATTCATGTTATTGCGTATTTCTTGTTCTAAATTACTAATTTGCAACTTATACATTTCTATGAAATTATTTTGTTCGTCACATTGCATAGATAACGATGTTATAATATCTTTTGTAGTATTTAATTCCACCTGCAAAGATTGAATTTCACTGTCTTTTGTCTTTTTTAATTCTTCAATTTGCGTATTAACACTTTCTTGTTGATTATGAACGTTATTCATTTCGTCGTTTAACAATCCAATTTGTTTAACTTTATCATCTATTACCAGTTGCAAATTGTTTATTTTTATTTGCATTGTTTGACAACGTTCCTGAGAAATTGTTAATTCTTCTTCATATGCGTTATGATTAAGCAACATTTGTGCTTTATCTTCGTTCATTTGTTTCTGTAAACTATCAATTTCTTTTTTAAGAGCTAAACATTCTATATCTTTGTTATTAACGAGATCCTGTAATTTCGCTGTTTCCTTTTGTTCATCTATATTATACTGAGGTCCGAAAATTTTCGAAGCATCAAAGAGTTGAGGTGAAGTATATTTTTCTTCATGTACGATATCCAAATCGCTACTTTTTGTCAAGCTGATATTAACCGTTTCTTCGATCAGTGTCGTATTTTTCTGATTAAATTTATCTAATTCTGATTGTAATTCTATTAACCTTTGATTATGCTCATTATTCTCTATCTTAAGATGTTCCAATTCTTGTTCCAAAGCTTCTTTCTGACTGCTTAATAATTTATACTTTTCTAATAATTCTTCCTTTTCAGACTTAAGTACAGTTATTTCACTTTGAAACATTTCTACAGATCGTTTCATTTCATTTTCCATAGCTTCTAGTTTTTCTTGTAAATTTTGTAATTCACTTTCCCGATCGTTATACTTTTTCAATAAGTCATTATATTTTTCATCTTCCATTAAAGTTTTCTCCATAGCAAGAATTTTGTCTTGCAAACTTACATTCAAAGCTTCATGAGTTTTACTTTTTTCAACAATTTCCTTATTTTCTTTGACCACGTTTTCCAATTTAGTTTTAATTTCCTCGTTATTGGCTAATAATGTATTATATTGATATAAAAGATCGTTGTAAGGATCTTCCATCGTTCTATTTCTTATAGTGGATTGGTTCATCATATCATTGAATCTTAAAGATTCACGCATTTGAACAAAATTACCAATAGAATTAGCTAATTCATTATCCAAATTTTCAATTTCAGCTTCTCGTTCCTGAAGTTTAGCCTCTAATGCCTGTACTATGGTTTGGCATTGTTCACAATGATCGCATTGTTGTACTATTGATCTTGTATCGTGTCCCAATTCATCTTCCGAAGTTTGAGTTATCTGATCCACAGTCGACATAACAATTTTCTTTTGTAATTCTTCAATAAGCAATCGTCGATCTTCTGACTCTTTTTCTACATTTTCCAATTTTTCATTAACCTGTATTCGTTTCGACGATAATAAACAATTTTCAGCTTGAAGATGTTTTATCACTCCAAGGTGTTCTACATATTCTGTTTCCATAACTTGCATGCGTACACTAAGCTCTCTTGCATTTTCTTTCGTTTCTTCAAGAATCAATTGCTGTTGATCATATTTTTGAAGAATTTCTTTTTTGGAAGATTCACATTCTTTGATAACACTTTGTTTAGCTAATTTTTCAGCTTCCATGTCAGTGGTATGTTGTGCTATGCGCCTATGCAATTCATCTTCCAATTCACTAATTTGATTGGTGAGTAAAAACATTTTATCTTTAAGAACAGCACTTTCATTTGTAAGTCTTTCGACATGCTCAAGAGAATCAGCTGTCTCACTTTTAGCTTTACTCAACTTCTCCTCCAAATCAGCTATTTTATTATCCTTCTCTCGCATAGAACTCTCAACTTCTTGATTTTTCTTATTTTTCGCTTCTTTTTCGTCCTTTTCACTTGTCCACTTCTCTTCCAATTCTGCAATTCTTGCTTCGAATTCTTGACACATGGCAGTTTTTCTTTTTAAAGTCGCTACGATTTTCTTCATTTTTTCTAATTGGGCTTGTTTTTTATTTTCAGAATCAACAAGTTTCTGTTCTAGGTCAGTAACTTTAGTCTCTAAAGTAATTTTAGTTTCTTCAAAAAGATTTTGACTAATAAGCTTTTCTTTCTCTAATAACTCAGTTTTCAAACTTTCGCATTCTTGAATTTTGATATTTAATTCTTCTATGGTATCTTCGAGTCTTCGATTATGCATTTCTATATCCTCTAGATGTTTAACTTTTAACTGTTCCATCAGTATATAGGCATCTTTTAATTCAGACTGTAATTCATCGATAAATTTAGCATTGTTTTCCAAAGAACTTTCAATATCCATTATTCTTTTCTTTGCATTAGCTTTAGTTCTTTCTGTTTCTATAATTTGTGCATTTAACTCATTTTTGATCATCAAAACATTTTGAAGTTCTTCGTGTTTTTCTATCAATTGACATTGTACTTCTTGATTCTGATGAGACATGCTTTCCAATTGAACTAATAATTCATTTTTTTCTTTCATATGTTCGTCAAGTTTACTTTGCATATTATTAATAAGCATCGCGTCATCGCGTAATTCTTCTAATAATTTTTTATATTCTGTACGAGGTACCGACTCGCGTAATTTTTCTTGTAATTCCGAATGTTTCTTTTCTAAAGAATAGATTTCATCTTCCTTCGATCTCAAAACATCGTTAACTTTTTCTAATTCCTGCGATATTGAAACAATTCGAAGATCTTTTTGTTGAATATCAATTTTATAATTATTAAGTTCGTATTGGAAATTATCTATGGCCATCATCTCATTTTGTAAATATTTATTTTGCAAATCTTGATTTTTACTTTCTAAGCTTTCTTTCAAATTATTTATTTCATCCTCTTTCTTAATGATAATTGTTCTTTCCTTTTCTAGATTTGATTCAAGCGTTGCTATTCTACTTTCTAATTCTTCTTTCAATATATTTTTTGCCATTTCTTTTTGTTCTATTTCTCCAATTAACCGTTTATTTTCTTCTTGTAACATACTAAAGCCATTCTCAATAGATACCTTACTTACTTCCAATGAATTCATTTTCTCTTTCAAATTTTCATATTTGAATTTCCATTCTTCTATTGTTTCTGACATCTCCTTTAATTCGTGTTCTATAGTTTCTCGTTCTTTCTCAGATGCTTCATAATTAAGTATTTGTTTAGTTTTTTCTTCTAATTCTTCTTCCTGACTCGATAACTTCAACTTCATTTCTTCTATAATATTTGTCTGTTCTGTTATTAACTCCTTACAATGTTTTATTTCTTTTTCTAACGATGCAATTATAGTAGATTCATCTTGCAATATTGCAGATACATTTGTCTGCTGACTGTTATCAGGTTTTTCTATGGACTCCTGTAACCCAGCACTAATTTCTTGTCCCTCCTCTGTTTTAATTTCTTTTTGGTTGATAAATTCAATCTGATTGGATAATTCTTCTTTTTCTTGAGTAGTTCTGTTTAAATCATCTATTAACTGTTGGTTTATCTCTTCAAGTTGTTGCATTTTCACAATAATTTCCTGTCTTTCTTCTAACAACTTATTCATTTTTAATTTTGTATCATTCATTTCTATTTCAAAGAACGATGCATTATTAGTACGTTCAATTAATTTCTCTACTACAATTTTTAATTCCTTTTCAAGATTATTTTTCTCTAAAAGTAAAGCATTCATTTGATCTTCATTATCAATAGAACGCATTGTTCTTTCTGTACTATTGGATTGTTTCTCCTGAATTACACTTAGACGCTCCTCTAACTTTGTATATTTTATAACTAGATCATTATTTTCTGTGATAAGTACTTCAATTCTTTTTTGGAGATTAGTATTTTCTTCTTCCATATCTGATATCTGTGATTTTAACTTCGTCAATTCAGTAGATAGATTATTATTTGAGTATAATAAAGACTCATTCTTTAAATCAAGCTCATTTTTACGAATCTGTAAGATATCATTGGATTCAACTATTTCAGAATAACTATTTTCAAGATGAAGTAGTTTTTCTTCGAGTTTAGTCATTTTAATTACGAGATCATTGTTCTCTTGAGTAAGAAGCTCAATCTTTGCTGTACTCTCATTATGTTCTGGAATACGCTCAAACGATTCAGTAGAACCTGTATCAGAAGATCCTTTTTCATCATTCCTACTTAGTTTTACTATAAGGTCATTATTTTCCTGAGTTAACTGATCAATCTTTTTTAATAATTCATTCTTATCTACATCATTTATGGCCTCAAAAGATTCTGTAGAACCAGCATGTGAATTATTTCTTTCTTCCAATTTCGTTAATTTTATCGTTAATTCGTCATTTCTTTGTGTAAGATCTTCTATCTTTTTCAATAATTCATTTTTATCAACTTCATGTATAGTTTCAAACGATTCGGTTGATCCTGCATCAGAAGTACTTTTTTCTTCCAATTTGGTTAATTTACTTGATAGTTCTGTATTCTCTTGTTGTAAAGTTTCTATCTTTTGAAGAAGCTCATTTACATTAGGTGACATTTCTAATTTATTTTCTGTTATTTTGTGCACTGACTCCAATTGTTCCTCTAAATCGACTACTTTCATTTCTGCGGTTACTCTATGATTTTCAGCATCCGCAACTTCTGCTTCTAATTTGGAAACTTTTTGTTTTATTAAATGTAGCTCTGAAATATAATAAATAATATATATATTCTTTACTTCTTTATATCTTTTACAGTATATCATTTACAAACTAAATAATAATGTATTACCTTGGATAAGATCTAATTTCTGATTTTCCAAAATAGCTATAGCATCAATATTTTTTTGTATTTCATCAGTTTGCATGGATACTCTGCTTTCGAGCTCTGTTATGCGTTCTTGCCAATCTCCTGCAGATGCTATACAGATTGTATGATATACCAAAAATATACATAATAATTTGGTTTATTTTTAACAGATATTGAGCATTAAGTAATAAGTGCAATAAATGTTTAGTGTTTTTATATAGAAACGAATTTTGAAAATATGCAAACAATTCTTATAGCAATATTTACCCTTTTTTAACTAACAATCCATTAAAAAGAAAAAATATAATTAATATAAAATTAAGCATAAATCATTTTAAAAATATATTCAAAATGTTATTGATTAATCGTATTAACTTAATTATTAGTATCTTATGTGTTTAATAATGTAAATTAATTTAATATTTATATGTAGTCATTATTAACAATTAAGTAACTATGAACAAGTAAATATTGTAAGTCTCATAACCCTTCATGCAGATAAAATAACTTATAAGATAAATTTTTTATTAGTAATAGATAATAAGAAAAAGATGATTATATTTTATAAAGGATAAATAATCTATATCTACAAATCAGATATAATAGCAAACTTTGACAAGTAAAGTAGGTACCATATTACATAAAACTAACTAATATTTAACACGATTTATCTGTTCGTTAATTAGTATTCTTTATGAGCTTTTTCATCATTATATTTACAAACTTAACTAACTAAAAATCAAGTAAGAATCCATCACCAAAAATCGTTAAAAGCTATACTGTTTCATTATAAATTTACAAATAAATATTTGATTTTTAAGTATACAAGAGATTTTTTGTAGCATTTACAATGACATTGATGCATATATGTGCATGTATATGTGTAAATACATGAATATATGTATTACATATATGCATGTAAATACATAGAAGTACACGTACAAATATATATATATATAATATTTTTGTATTGACATTGCACTATAAAGATTAACCTATTATACAAATCATATGGATAAATCTCATATTATATTTCATAACTAGAAGGATGGAAAGAACAACGAAATAAATCCTGTCCTGGTTCCTACCTTTAAGCTCGTCAAAGTCTACCAGACTCAGCTGAAGGTTACCTTTCTCCTCCTCCAATAAAGCAACTTGATTTCCCAGCCTAACGAGCTCCGCATTTGTGTCGGACACCTAAATTATGTGTTAATATATCATTATTTATTTTTAAATATAATAAAATTATATATACATTTATAATTTAAATGTAAATTATGATTACCATTTTGAAGTTTTCCAATTGCTTTTGTAAACCCTTTACTTTACTTTTGTGTTGAGCTTTTATTTTAATCATATTTTTATTTAAATCATCTAATTCTTTAATAAGTTTTTGAGTTTTTTCGTTTTCTTTTTGAATTGAAAGTTCAGATGGCAGTTGAGATGCAATTTCATTCTTTTCTATTTCAAGATTGTGCACTAATTTTTCAAGTTCCATAATTCTATTAGAATAATCTTCATTCTTCACAGATAATTCTGCAAGCTGCTTTTGTAATTCAGTCTTAGATTCCTCTTCGAGCAAATCATTGGACTTTTTAAGTTCTTCTACTAAGTTTTCAAGTTCTGCTATCCTGTTATCTTTTTCCATAATAGCACCATTTCCATGCATAGATTTGGAATCAATAATCTTATTTTGCATATCAGCGATACTCTTTTGAAGTTCATATTTTTCATCTTGCAATTGACGATTATTTTCTTTTAATTTATTTAGATTATATTGTAAATCTTCTATTGAAGGTGTTTTTACAATACCTTTGCCAGATTCTAATTGAAATATTTTTTCATTAGCTTTTGCTAATTTAATTTCATAATCTTGCAATTGTTGAAGTAAATTATCATTTTTCATTTTTAAGGAAGATTCAATGAGAATAAAATTTTCTTGCATAGATGTCATAGCACTTTTTGTATCAGCCAAAGTATCCAAAGTCGAACGCGACAAATCAGAGTTTGCTATCTCAGATAATTTTTGTTCAGCCAGTTCATTTTCGTATCTAACCAACAATTTTGAGAAATGTCTTAATATTTTATGTCTTTAATCAGAGAACATCCTTATTTAATGCTTACCTTTTAATCGTATCATCTAATTCTAATATTTTATCATCCCTTTCATGAAGTTGCTGAAGAAGATTATCATTTTTTTGCTTTAATGATGATTCTAATAAAACGAAATGTTCTTGCATTGTTCGCATTTCACCTTTCGTATCTTCAAGCGTATCTAATGTCGTTTTACCCTTTTTAGAAAGATCAGCTGACATAAGCGTTATAGCTTTAGTCTTTGAATCAATAACCGAATCCTTTTCTTTCAAATTTTCTTGAAGATCCATAATAATTGCTTGTAACTCCGAAACCTTATTGTTAAGTTCTATTATTTCGTTATCCTTCTCCTGAATATAAGTAGACTCGGGCACTGGTATTACCATCTTAAATAAAAATATTAACTGTTTATTATATTATATTACTTAAATAATATTTCATATAACATATCAAGTATATAACATACTTCAGAAGTAACTATTACAGGTGTTACAGTTTGATCTTTCTGCAATTCCATCATTGCTAAATCTTTTTCATCTAATTGTTGTCTAATGGCTTCCACTTTTTCTTCTACAGCTCGCTTAGTTTCTGTCATTTCTTTGTTACGCTGTTCAAATACTTTCCTATTCTCTACCAACATTCTTTGAAGCAAAGAAGATTTAGCTTTAGGTGTTGTCGCTTGACTAATATCTCTTATACTTGTATCAATTTCAGATGGGTGTTCTACATCTTTGGATGTTGAAGCACCCTCTTTACTACGTTTCGACAACTTAGTCCTAGATTTAATTTTTGATAGCCTACTAGCATATTCCTAAAATTATATGTACAAATAATAATAGATTCAAAAATGAGGCAACCATCAAAAATTAATAAAATAAATAATTAATATTATTGTGAAATAAAAAAGCTATAATAACATAATGAAAGCAATAAGGGAAAAATATGTTAAATGTCACCTGCACTTCTTCTTCTTTCTTTTTCAAACTTTGTTTGTTTTTCAACATAATTTCTTTAAGAGATTCCAACTGATTTTTATTTTGCTTGCAGGTCTTCTTTGCTTCCAAAAGTGTTTCAGGTGGACCTTCTTCCACGGTTCCTGGTGGTTCCTCAAATTCCCCCCACATTATGAACTGCATAAATAGAAGTACAACAAAAAACTTCATTATTATTTTTTATATTAAACTAAGTTCTATGATTGATTTAGTTTGCAATAACTTGTAGAATAAGTGGCAGTGAAAGTTCTACTAAAATGTTCAGATATTCAAGCTTCACCCAATGTTCTCATTTTCATGAGCTAATTGGATAATAGTACTGTCGAGGTAAACTAATTATATTAACCTACACACATATACTATAATCATTTCTATAAACTTGGTCAATCTTTTACATATATCCAACATAATAGTAGGATCACTGCAGCATAAAAAGATAGCATTAACATTAACTGCGGCATAGTAAAAAGGAATAGTTGTAAGATAGTTAAACATATTATTAATAATAATAATAATAATAATAATAATAATAATAATAATAATAATAATAANAAATAATAATAATAATAATAATAATACTTGTTAAAAAGCATATAAAATTCAATATATTATGCTTTTCTAGCTTTTACATATTCTAATAAATAATGCAAAAATATATATAATTTATAAGATCAACTATAAATTAATATATATATTAAAATATATATTTTAAAAGTAATAAACACACATTCTGATTTTCGAGATTTAATTTTATAAGATAAATTTTATATTTTATATTAACACATTGAAAATGTGTAAAAAAATGAAAACTAATCTACTGTATATTTTGTTGTTTCAATTTCGAATGAATCATTGTCAAATAGATAAGAAAATAGTTTTCATGTCTTTAAACATTCGAAGAGGTAAGAAATATTTGTGTACACGTAGCAAAATGACGTAACGTACGTACTAAAGAGGATCGAAAAGATTGACACGGAAAGGTTAAGGGATGATTAAATTATTCGAGGATATTGAACTAACTAAGAAACGGTTCAATAACTGGAAAAAAATCACGAGAATTACTTCCTTTTTTTAAAGACAAATATTTTATCTTTTAATTATATTTACCTTTTATTTTAGTTCAATGAGATGTCAAGATGGAAATACGTCACTATATCTGCACATATTTTCAATCTTTTTTCGCACCACACACACTTTTCTTCTATTAGAAACTAATGAACAATACATATACACGATACTCACACAGACTTGCCTTTTTATCACCCTTAATAATTATTGCTTTTTTTTAAATGCAATATTTAAAAATTAAATAAACTATTTCTTTCGAACTTTACTTTTCGTCGAAAGCAATTGGACAAACATTAACACTCGTTAAGTTAAGGTTGGAACAGTGGCGCCATTACACGAATTTAACGCGTAGTAACGTAATAAAATTGACGCCCTAAAACTGCATTGTTAAATATATATATATATATATATATATATAATTCATTTTATTTTTAATATATTATTATTTTATTTGAATTTAAAAACTTTATTTGTCCTTATATAACTTATCTAATTTTATAATATACGTTACAATAAAAAAGAAACAATTGTCAAAATACGATAATTTTTGAAATACTGATTGATTGTTATAATAAAAATTTCTATTGTATACTAACGTAATTCTAATGTAATTTCATACGATTATAGATCAATAATTTTTACGATTAATTCTAAGCAATCAATTATAATTGATTCAAAAATTCATCGACAAAATTAATTATTTAATATCTAATATAATAACATTGTTTTTTTCTTTTAAATTAAAAGTAAACGATACTGTCCAATCGCGCGCTTTTTTTCAGATAAACAAAACTCAAAGCGATTGCTTAATCGATTTTCGCGCGCTTTTTGTATGAAAACAAAATTGATGATCAATAATATTGGTTATAAAAAAAAAATAGAAAAAAATGAGATAACGATTCGCAATTCGAGAAAAAGTTATCGATAATAATGAGTCGTTGTGAATAATAACACATTTCATCTGTTCAAAGTTTGAGAAAAATGTAAGATGGAGAAGAAATGGTATCATCAAACGTTATCCTGTGTACCTTTAATCGCAGGCGCGTTAAAATCGTGGGTGGTAGGGAGAAATTGGAGGTAAGGGAGGAAAGGGGAGAATCGCTTTCTGATGCTACGGCGCATCTGATGGTGACAACCAAGTCTGTATTCACAAAATATCGACTAATACACGGTATCCGAGCTAGAAGCAGTTGAGACAAATGCGATCTTCTTGCTTCTTCGTCGCGTCTATACGTGAATATTTGGAATAAATATCGTGGACGTCGTCGATCGTGATGGACGTCCAAAGACAATGCAAAGGTAAAATAGAAGAAGTGCAATCTTTTCTCTCTATCTCTTTCTCTTTATGTACTTCTCTTTCTCTCTCCCTCTCTCTCCCTCTCTCTCTCTCTCTCTCTCTCTCT